GGAGCAACTAGATGCCAAATGAGTCTTGGATAAGTGAGGATAAATCTTTAATGTTATTAAATTTTATTTTATTCAATAAATTAAATATGTGTAAACGAGTTACTTGGCTTTTGGGTGGTGCAATGATTAGTTCATTGAAAAAAATGCATGTTTCATTTTCGATCGGTTTCGAACTATGATAAAAAGTTAAAAAAATAAAAATAAAAAATAAATGTGTAAACGAGGGTGTGGGTATAGAGGGTAACTTTATCATTTTCCTACTAAAAATTCATATTAAAAAAACCAAAATTTAAAAAGCAGGGTTGTGTTGCTTTTTTGCCTTTGTATTCTAATCTCGCAAATGTAATTATTAGACATAAATGCATGACAACGTGCAGGTTCCCAGCAACTTTTCAGGACTATGCGTTTAATTTTTTATCTTATTGACTTTAAAGTTCTTTATCATTTACCTTAGGTTTAATACCCAATTTGGTCATTAAACTTTCATTTGAGAACTTTGTTTGTCCTTTAACAAATGGAAGCACCCAAGTTGTCCTTTAACTTTATTTATTTGGAACCCAAATGGTCCTTCTGTCATGGAAGTACCCAGTTGGCACGTTAACTTGCCACAAATTAATCCTTTTATTTCAAAAAAATTACATGAAAAAAATATAATGCTTTGGTAATCTTAATATTGACTTTTCCCTTATCTTCAACCCCCATCCCTCTTTGCCATTTTTGTTCCTTTTCCTGTTCTCCAGCACCGACATTCAACACCAATACCAGCGGCATCATTCTTTCCCTTTCTCATTTTTCTCTCTACTCTCCACATAAAAAGTTTGAGATTTTATTCATCTTCATAACAAAAACATACAATACTTCAAAGGGGTAGGTATTGATCTCATTACATGGCAGAAATGATACAGAGCACAGATCAGAAGAGAGATGAAACCTGCAAAAACTAGGACATGGTGAAAAAAACAAATCATTTAGGAGTTGTGATGACAGACACTAAATTGCTACCATGGCCAAAGCCCATAAAAAGCAAGGCACCAAAACTCTTGATTGTGAAAAGCATGGTGGAAGTGAAGACTTCAACCTACCCTTTGAGCAAAACAAAGGATCAAACTATCATGTGAAGAACCAGTGGAAACACAGCCAACTTTGTAGTGAGATGATTGAGGGGAGGAAGAAAAGCTTAGCCCAAAGATGAGTCGGCAAGACCAAGCTAAAACACCAGGTGCTAGCACCCAGCAACATAAAAAAGCTAAAATCAAAGAAACATGGCCTAAAATTCAGGACCCAGTAACTGTGTTCTCAGGGATTTTGGCCAAGAAGAAACCAACGCCCATTTGTTGGGCAAAATGTATTAACAGATTTCTGTAAACAGAAATCTGCAAAAAAAGAAAAAAAAAAAAAAAGGGGTAGAATGGCCATATTCCCTGGAAAAGGGGACTGAGCACTGGATTACAGAAGACCCATAGTAGATGGACCCAAAAACTAAACATAATGCCATCACTCACAAAACTAGTCTGAGGCATCACAAGACTCATACCTCATGCGTTGTTATTTGGAGGGTTTACCTTTCCTGTTGAGAAACTGCTCAGAAAAGGATATCACACCTCCATAACTGCTCCGTGAGCATATCAACTGCACTGCTGCTAACTCCATTGCAACGTTGCAGATTTAATCCCAAGAGGCTCTAGGGTTCGGAGAAGAAATTGTAGAGGATTTAAGGGTCGAAGAAGGAATCTAGGGTTCGGAGAAGAAATTGCAGAGAGAAGGAATGGCTGATGTTGGTGCTGGAGAAACTGCTCAGAAAAGGAACAAAAATGGCAGAGAGGGATGGGGGGTTGAAGATAAGGGAAAGGTCAATATTAAGATTACCAAAGCATCATTTTTTTTTTCCACGTAGTTTTTCTGAAATAAAAGGATTAATTCGTGGCAAGTTAACGTGTGAGCTGGGCATTTTCGTGACGGAAGGACCATTTGGGTTCCAAATAAATAAAGTTAAAGGATAACTTGGGTGCTTTCATTTGTTAAAGGACGAACAAAGTTTTCAAATGAAA